CAGCATTTCCAGCAGTAAGATCTTGGACACCTAATCCTGGTCTCTTCCTGAGTCTCAGTTTCCTCATCTGTACAGTGGGGGGCAATCACCCTCACTCAGGTATCCAGCCAACATCCACATCCTTGGAATGAGGGGCCTCTGAGGGCCCCATCCGGGAAGACTTGCTGTAGTTGCTCCAAGAAGAGTTTCCAATGACAGAGAACTTCTTATCACCATGGTCTGCCCTCAACATGCGCTGGCTTGCTGTCCTCAAAGAAGCTGGACCGATGCTGGAGTTCACAGAAATGGACCACTGCATGGGAACGTAGCGGGGTGGGGTGGACAGGTCATGACGTGGCAATTCCTCACCTGGAGCTTTCTTGTATCGCCTGTGATTATGAAATAGCTACACCCATAACTATGTAGAATCTAGACAACGGGGTGAGAAAGCCCCAGGATGGAGCAGGAGCAGTGGGAAGGGCCTGGGTTCAAATTATGATCTTGGAACCTCCTAGGGTGTGGTCTTGAGGAAGTCACTGAACATCAGTTTTTTCATCTGTAAAATGAAGAGAATGCCTCTTAGATTAGCCATAAAGATTTACCGAGATGTGAGGCATTACATGCCTGGTACCTGGGGGCCCAATAGATAGACATGGGTTGGGACCTGGAGACCAGTAGACTTCGCCTGGAACCTGCAGCTCTGAGCTGCTGTCTTGTCAGTCTGGCTTTAGTTACAGATGTGCTCACACTGAAAATGTGTACCTTAAAGTGCAGGGATCACCAAGATGGAGTCCCCCAACATCTCATGGAACTGGATTCGGAGGGTCTGGGGGTCCCTACTGTCTCCCATGTACTCCTCCACCAACAGGTCACCAAATCCAGGAGACAAAATCTACTCTAGCTGGATCAAGAAGAGTCAGGTTAGGCAAGGTGGCGGGGCAGGGAGGCAGCAGGGTCAGGGATTGGGAGTTGGGTCCTGGAATGGGATAAGAATGGGGGGAAGGGCCAACTTCTGGGGTGAGGCCACCCTTTATTCATGGGGGACACTAGATGGATAAGATATCTGGGGGATGGGTTTCTCCTGCCTCAGGACAGGAGAGGAGACCTCCTCCATTGGGACAGGGCCCCTGGAGCCTCACCATCATTGTTAATATATTCTGCAGGATAGCTTTCAGTGTCTCTCTGTCCATTTCCTTCTAGGTGTCAGATTTTCAAGCCCTGGGTAGTTGGGGAGTCACAAGTTGGGGGTATGTTCGGCCTAGAGCCATGAAACCCTGAGCCTCTCCCAACGAGTAGGCTCCCCAGCACCGAGGGGATTGGGCCTGGGCCTCACCAAGGGGACAAGACAACCACCTCATCGGGCCCACCCCTGGTGGTTACAAGGATTGAGTCTGGCACAGGGTTCCCAAGCTCCCTCCTCCTTCCCACGCGCAGCCTCAGGTCCTGCCTCTGCAGACTTTGGGGAGTCTGACCTGGTCCCCTCACAGGACCCTCACCTCTGGCACCCAAAGGCTACCATGCTCAGCCTTGCTCAAGGTCCAGCTGCATGGTTGGCTCATGGGTGGGGCACTCTTTTCCCTCCACTGAGAGACTGCCCAGGGGCCCGTCTGGCCTTGGATCAATGAGTGCCTCCCTCAGGTCCAGAGTTTGGACTGGGCAGGGAGTAGGCAGGAAGAGACCAGCTGGGCCAAGAAAATGTGGGTTTGGCAGGAAAACAGAACTGAACAGGCCCAGGCCAATAGCAGACAGGCACTGGCATGGCCACTTCCCCTCCACTCGGACCCCCTCTGGAGGGGCCACGAGGCTTCTGCAGCCCTTCTGCAATACCAAGAACCCTCTCCTCAAACCTGACTTCACTATTTTTATAGTCACCTGCGTGACAAGGGTGTTCTGGGGTCAAGAGAGGGAGCAACAAGCCCTTAGGGAAGGGAAGGGAAGGGAATAAGCCAGGAACCCAGGAGAGCTTCCTTTGATGGAGAAATGGGAATAACCGTAAGGCAGAGAGGTGTGAATGCCCTTCATCCTGAAAGTTCCTCTTTGCTTCCAGGGATGTCTCTTGGGTCCACCTTCAAGATTCCTCATCCCCTTATTGTCTGTTCCTGGTCTGAGGGTCTCCTCTGGCCCCGTCCCTACTCGGCCGTCGTCCGCCTTTTGAAATGCACACGAGACCGTGGAACTTATCTTAGGAACGCCCCCAATCCCATCCCGTGGCTTTCCCTCTCCCCACCTCCCGCCAAGATCGAGTTCACGGTCATTTATTCAGTTAACAAACATTTAAAGAACGCCTTCTCGCCCCCGCCGTGGGGACCCGGTAGGGCACTCCCAGGACCAACGCGTAACGGGGGATGCTGACGCGTCCTCAGGAGGTTCCGAAACGCAGTGAACTGTTCCAGACATACAGACAACTCGGCAGGGGAGCGCCCGCCCAGCCTTAGGGGCAGACTGCCAGGAGGAAGAGATGCCCGAAGATACTCCCTGTTCAATTTCAGTCTTCAGTGCCCCCAAGAAACAGCCTTGGTCCAGCGGGCTACGGCTCTCACCGCCGGCCGTCGCGGGCTCCGTGCCATTGCTGGAACGGTCGCGCCTTAACGGCTCCGCGTAAGGAGCGCGCGGAGGCCATCACCCCTCCCAAACCCCAGGCTGAAGGACACTCGGGGCTGCGTGTCCCTCGCGCGACCCCGTCGCCCCGCCACGCCCCTTCCCGTTCCCCGGAAGTGCGCCGTTAGCAGCGGAAGTGCCCGCCGACTGTGGCCTGTAGCGGTTCCACGATGGTGGGCGGCGGCGGGGTGGGGGGCGGCATTCTGGAGAACGCTAACCCCCTCATCTATGAGCGCTCTGGGGAGCGGCCGGTGACCGCGGGCGAGGAGGACGAAGAGGTTCCAGACAGCATCGACGCGCGCGAGATCTTCGATATCCGCCGCTGCCGGGCGCGGGCGCGTTCTCGGGGCACTGGGAGGGGGATGAAGTAATGTCCAGTAGTCGGTGGAGCTGTGTCAGGGCCAGGCATTCCTGGCGGAGGGTTCTGAGTGGGAAAAGGCGCAGAGTCCCTTTTCCTTCACTTGCTACATCTGATTCGCTCCATCAATGACCCAGAGCATCCACTGACGCTAGAAGAATTGAACGTAGTAGAGCAAGTCCGGGTTCAGGTGAGTTAGTCCACCGTCTTAGGGGAGCTACTTGTTCGGGACAGTCAGAAAGGTTCAGCTGTGCACTAAAGGGCAGTCGTTCTCTTAGCTCAGGGACTCCTCAGGGAATCTTTGGGAGGCGGGATTGTTGTGCCCATTTTATGGATGAGGAAACTGAGGCTCACAGAGGTTAGACGGCTTGCCTGAAGCAACAAACTAAGAGGGGCTCTGGGAAGAAAGGGCCAAGACTTCTGACATCCCACCCCCAATCAGGTGAGTGACCCCGACAGCACTGTGGCCGTGGCCTTCACACCCACCATTCCTCACTGCAGCATGGCTACCCTTATTGGCCTGTCCATCAAAGTCAAGCTTCTGAGATCTCTTCCCCAGCGTTTCAAGGTAGGTTGGAACTGCGTGGTGGGGATGGAGTGAGTGTAATTATCCACTACTGAGAACATAAAGAGCATGAACATGGACATCTGAATAAGACCTGAAAGAATCCCAATTCACAGAGAGGAAACTGGGAGAAGCCTTTCCATTGAATGGGACAGCAGGAATAAAGGCCTGAGCTGGAAGGTGCGGAAGAGTAGTGAGGAGTGCGGCAGAAAAGACAGTAGGGGAGCTGTAGATAGGTTTGGAGCAGGGTTGGGGCACGGGCAGGCCTTTCCGTCAGCAGCAGTGGGTCAGTCCTTTGGGTAGAAAGGGAGTGACTATGGGTGGGTTTGGGATGTATCAGAAGGGTCAGAATCCAGAGGCATAATTAGGAGGTGGTGGGTAGGGGAGAGTAAAGAAGGGGTAGACGGGGTTGAGCGCTCAGGCTCTGCCTGTCTCCCTCCCAGATGGACGTGCACATTACACCAGGGACCCATGCCTCAGAGCATGCAGGTAAGTGTGGGCTGGTGTTGAGGCATTGGCCCTGAGGCTTCTCCCTTGCTGTGGTGGTTTGTGGGGCAAAGGGGCGGGTGGCTGTTGGGTGGGTGACTCCTCAGTGAAGGTGGCAGCCTAGCCTAAACTGAAGCTGGAGTGACTGACTGCTCCGTTTACCATGTATCCCCACTCCTGTTCTCTCCCTCTCCTAAATACGCAGGACCAGGGTGTGCCAGGCTCTGTAGTACAGGAGACAGATATGAGCAGCCAGGTGGGAGGGATCCCAGGTGTGGACCCAGGTGGTTGAGGTGGTTGAGGCTTGGGGTCCTGGTAAGGAGGTGATGGGGGAGGATGCTTTGTTGGTGGGGGTAATATATATAATAATTATTGATGTTTATATTTTGCCACTCCCTCTTTCCCTTACAGTGAACAAGCAACTCGCAGATAAGGAGCGGGTGGCAGCTGCCCTGGAGAACACCCACCTTCTGGAGGTTGTGAACCAGTGCCTGTCAGCACGCTCCTAAGCCTGGCTTTTCACCCCCAGCCTCACCCAGGGCTCATGGCCTTGTTTTCTTGAACCACTGACAATGAGAAACTAACACTTTGCATTTGTAATAAACTCTTAATTTATATTCATGTCCCAGCGTGCCTTGGAGTCTTTCGTTTGGGAGTCACTCGGGGTTTGGAGGTGGTGATAACGAGTGCCTATATAGGCCAGATCAGTGGGATGCAGTTCATTTAAAAAATTTCTCCCAATAGTTTGATAAGGAAGAGTTGCAAGTATACCAGAAAATGGAAAAGAGTAGTGTAGCAAACACATTTGTACACCTACCACCTAGATTCAGCAGTTGTTAGTGTGTTGTAGCATTGGCTTTATCTATATATGTGTGTATAATATAAGTATATTTAACAGTAATCTGCAGACACCTGACCCTGCACATATAAATAGTATTTCATCCTGTGTTTCCTAAAGAATAAGCCTGTATAACCACAGTACTGTTATCTGGCCAAAAAAATGAACAATTCTCTTCTCAGTGATGAAACATTCACATGTCTTACTTCCTAGTCTACTCCCAGAGCCTGTAAAAGTGTACCCCCTGGGGCTGGCTGAGGGAGAAGAGGAGAAGGAACTGTCTTAGGGATTTAAAAAAAAAGTTAAAAAAATTATTATCTAATGTCCTGTTATATATGAATTTCTCTAAAACATCATTCATAGCTGTTTTTTTAATCAGGCTCCAGTCAAGTTTCAGGTATTTGCATTTGGTTGCTATCTCTCTTCCTGACCCCCTCCTTTTTATCTTTTTTGACACTTTTTTGAAAACCCAGGTGAGTTGTCCTGGAGAAGTACCACAGTCTAATTTGTTCCTTTGTCTGCTGTGTTTCCTGTAAACTAGAAGCTGATCGAGTTCAGGTTGGAGTTTATTAATGAGAACCTTGCCCAGGAGTGCTGTAGGTACCCATAAGTATCCATCGGTAGATGTGTGACACCAGCTTGTCCCATGGTTGGTGATGCTGAGTCTAGATCCCCTGGTCAGGGCAGTGACAACAAATTGCTCTGTTGCAAGGAACCTGAAGCACCTTCTCCACCAGCTCCCAAGGAGATGAGTGTCACTCCAGGTGCTCAGGTCTGGGGCCTCTGCCTCCCCCAGTACTAGGACCAGAGCACCGTTGGTCACCAGGGCAGGCCCTGGGGCTTAGCACAGCAGGCGGTTAGGAGCTGTAGTGCTGGTTCCCTGCCTCAGTTTCTTCTTCTGAGGATAAATGAGGATATTAAGATTTGCCCTGCCCACCTTATCCCTGCTGAGGCTCAGGTGTGACAGTGGGCAGAGACCTCCAGAGGCCTCAGTAGGGAGCCTGGGCATTTGGCAAATCTGTTCTTCAGGGCCGGCCAACAACATTGAGCCTGAGAAGAACTTTACATATACTAACTAGTTGAGCAATTCTTGGTCCAGCTCTGTGTGGCAGTTGCTATTCTTTATTAATCTTTTGCAGATTGGGAAATGAACTTCCAGGGTAAGGAATTTACTCCCCAATACCTGCAGCTAGGGAATAAAGAGAAAGCTAAGCTGTTTAGCTGGAATGGCACAGCTGGCAGGGGGCGCTGTTGCCTGGATGGAAGGGACTATGCCCACCTCCAGCCCCCAATTCCAGGAGGGAGTGGCTTCGTCACCTAGTGACCAAGATCTGGCTGCGCAAGCTCAGAGAGGTGAAGCCACCAGGGCATGTTGCCCAGTTTCTTCGTCTATTATGTGGGGAGAGTCATGCCAATCACTTGGGACTGCTCTTTGGAGATCTAAAATGGATCTGGGCTCATTTCAGGTGATCTTCCAGGCATTGTATCCCTCCCCCCATTTCCACAGATGGAGAAGCTTAGTACTCCTGAGAAGCAGGTGACCAGCTAGGGCCCCCCAGGCCCCAGAAGCCTTCTAACCACCAATCCCTGGCTGTAAGCTTCGCCACATGTATACCTCTGCACTGACCACCCTGGTTTCTCTAGGGTGTCCAACATTTTGGCATCTCAGCCACACTGGAAGAAGCAGAGTTGTCTTGGGCCACACATTAAATACATTGCGGCACATAATCACACACATAAAGATCTCATAATGTCTTAAGTAAATTTAAGATTTTGTGTTGGGCTGCATTCACAGCCCTCCCGGGCTGCATGCGGCCTGTGCGCTGCAGGTTGGACAGCCCTGCAAATGGGTGTCGGTGGTGTCTGTGTTCAGCTAGGTTTGGGAGGTCATGGGGGAGGCAGGTGTCACTGAGTCATTCAGCTGGCCCTCCTGGCAGTCAAGGCCACAGTGAGAGAGGGATATTATGCTGATCGTGTCACAGCTGGCATGTCGGATAGTCCCCTTGTCAGTCTTGACTCATCCGTGCCTAGCCCCTGGCTGCCTGCAGGGACACCATCTGTGAATACTGGGCTAGTGCCCAGGGATCTTTCTGGAACATAGCTGCTGTCTGAGGACATGGTTACAGGGTAGAGGGGGGTGAAGTTTGAGGTCCCTAAAGCCTTCTACCAGGTATGACTGGCTCTGCTGTTTCTGGCCTATGACTTCTCAGGCCTCCGTTACCATGTCTACAAAATGGGAACAACAAATCACAGTTCAGTGAGAATGACCCAGGGACTAGATGACATGTATGGACATGCTCAGCTATGTGGACTTTTGCTTATCATGCCCATCGCACAAGGGTCTGAGGGCACATAGAAGTACTTAGTAGAGGTCAGTGGAATGAATGAATAAAGCCTTAGGACAGAACAGAGCAACCAGGGTGTGGGGCTGTTGCGTGAGGAGAGATGAGGCTACTGAAACCCAGCCAAGTTCCCTTTGCAACATGCTACCAAAGGGAGGAGGGAGGAGGCGAGGACCCATAGAGAGAAGGTGGGCGTGGGGGAGAGGGGAGCAGTGTCCGAGAACAGAGCAGAAGCAAGAAAGAAGAAACAGGACCGGGTCCACGGATCCGCTCAAACCTGCCCTGTCCAAACAAGCATGAAAAAAAAAAAAAGTGTTTGCGTCGAGATATTATATGCCAGACATGGGCTAACTACTTTATTTATATAATAACCCCCAAGAAGATATTATCCCTATCCTACCCAGGAGGAAGCTGAGGTTCCGCCAAGATAAACAGGCAGAAGTGAGACAGCTAGTGAGGGGCAGAGCCGGGATATGAAGTTCGGGCTGTCCAGAAAGCTGAGAGGACCAGGCGGTAGGGGTGAGGTGTCTGAAGGTGGAGTCCTGGCCTTGGTTCCTGGGGCCCCGGCCATACCTTGGCTTGAAGGGAGTGTTGCTGGTTGGAGAATGCCTGGGGCCTGAGTGGCCCAGTGTGGATGCAGTTCCCGTGGCAATGAAGAAACACTGGAGGCCGAGAGCTCAGGTTACCAGAGGGGAAACCCAGCCCTAATTCCCTGCATGGCTCCCTGCTGGGAAGAGCCACAAGTACCCGCTACCCCCACACTTAGCCACCCTCTGCTGGACACCCAGGGGCTCTTTTTTAATGGCACAGTATGTGGGTAGGAGGGGCCATAAGCAGCGCAGCCAGGATCCTGATGGGAAGTAGTTTGCTGGCCCTTGAGACTTGTGCCACCATGAGCCTCGACCCACAGACTCCATCTTCCCACTGGGTCTAGTCCAGGAAGCTAGAGCCAGGGTGAGGTTGCCCAGGCCTCCAAGACCCTCCCGGCCACATGAAGAACAGAGATGGACAGTCCGCCCGCCTGTCCAGCCTTTGCCGACTTTGGAGACCTCAAGAATGAGAGTGGTCTGCATGAACCCCCTAACACTCAGCCAGGCCCTCCTCACTCCAAGGCCCTCTCAGATGTTGCCAAGGAAACTGATGCAGCAGCCAGAGAGCCCTACCAGATCTCCATGACAACCTACAACAGCCCACCAGGATCCATCCATCTATGATGTCACCTGAGCCCTGAATGGGTGCCCCCACTCCTGCCACACTTCTCACAACCAAATGTCAGAGTCTGGTAGTAGGTCCCTGTCACAAAGTACCTCACAGCCTGCCTACCCCCAACCCTCACACACTCCAGATATAGGAGCAAGGCGGAATGGCTCATGCATCCCCAATTTATAGCCAGACACCCAGAGACTGGGATGGAAGCAAAACCCAGAACCGTGGAGGCAGTGCCAGGACTGGAGACCAAGCCTCCTCATTACACCTCCCCTCTGTGTCCTAGCAGCCACCGGGGAGTGAGCTTTGGGAAGTGATGACATCAAGTGGTGGCTAAGGGGTCCCCTCAGCACCCCCCTCCACCCCGCCTCCTGCATCTATGCTCCTCCTGGATGGGCGTCTGAACCTCCAGGCCTTGCATGTGCCCTGAACAAGCAGGTCCAGGCTGGGTCTAGAGGGAAGGAGAGAGATAATGAAGGCTCTTAAAGTGGCTGGATGCAGGCCTGATCCAGTTCCTGGTCCAGTTGCACCCTAATCTGCTCCTGCTGGCATCTGATGCCTGCCTGCCAGGATTTCCCCAACTTTGGGCGACCTCCAGCCCAGAAACAGAATGACCAGGGCTGGGGCCAGGTATTTTTAGCAGGGTTGCTGGCAGCTGTCTGGAGGGTGCTGGGGGGTGAGGTGGTGCTGAGTTCATCCCTTCCCTTCTCTAGGCCGGTGTCCCCTCCCCAGGATTCAAGCTTGCACCTCTACCTGTGACACACTGCCAGAGGACCTCCCTTCCTTGCCCTCTTGCCCAAACAGCTCTTCAAGGGCCCCCAGGGGCTCATGGGATGACATTAAGCCTCATCCTGAAGGGCAGGTTCATCGGGTAGAAACTTCAACTCCACATGGCAGGGAGGGGAGTAGGAAGAACTTGGTGTTGAGGCCAGAAGCTGGATTTAGGACCCCTAAATTCTAGCTCAGATATGCGTCAGTGGGGAGTAGGTGCCAATGGGCAGAGAAGGATGAAGTCTGTCCAGCCTGTAAATGTTCTGCTTGCTTGGGCAACAGGCCAGGACCTGGCAGGAGGGAAGGGAGAATTTACTTTTAAAGGGCCAGACCTAATTCTTCCCCAGAGGAGAGTTGGTACACTTGGTTGGTCCTTGCCCCGACCTCTGATGGCACCCTCACACACGCTCAGACGCCCCTTTGTGTCACACACACACACACACACACACACACACCCCCGCCCGCCCCCCCTTTGCCTCTCTCTCGCGCGCTCTCTCTCTTTCTCTCTCTCTCTCTCTCAGACCCCTGCTTTGTCTGCCAGGCCGCCCTGTTCCGCCCTGGCGGATGGGGCGGGGTCTCGGCGAGTGTGAGGTCCTAGGAGGAGGGTGTGGGATCCCTCCTGGGGGGAGGGGGGACAGACACGTCAGCCCGGGCCTCAGCGTGGATGGGGGCGAGTGCGGGGGCGGGCAGAGGCTTAAATAGGCGGCTCTGCAGCCCCGACCCAGTGCGGACAGAGAAGGCAGCTGCTGCGACAGCACTGAGTGTCCTTGCCTGGGTCTACGATCCGAGCACGGGACCTACCCCTGACTCTGTGTGCGAGTGGGTGAGTGTCCTGTCGAACGGGATGGGGGTGGTCGCACCATCATGGTTGCCGATGGACGAGTCAGAAGGATGGGTCTCAAGTCAGGGCACAAAGACCTTCACGACTGAGATGGGACCACAGCAGGTCGTCGGTCCCGAGGCGCGCCCGG